AAAAAAAAAAAAAAAAAAAAAAAGAGACTGACACTGGATACTGACTTTCATGGACATTTGTATGATTGCTTGATTTGAATATAAGTGTAAATAGTCCTTTACAATGTGCTTGTAGTAACATTGTTGAAAAACCTGAATTGTATCTTACATATATTGTAAACTAAACAGTAAGATGAAATTATTAGCTGGTCACTTCTGTAGAATATAAATCTAATAAAAATAACCAAGTTGAAATATTGATAAAATACTTTCAGCAACAAGTGAGACTGAAGGCTAGAACAAGCTGTATTTTCTTATTTATTTATTTTTTTGGTACCGGGGATCGAATGTGGGTCCTTGTGCTTGCAAGGCAGGTGGCAGAACCGCTGAGCTAAATCCCCTGCTTCTTTTTTATTTTGCATATTAAAATATGTTATAAAATAAAATTTAAGTGTATAAATGACTAAGTACCAACAAACAAAATTCTGTTGAAATCAACTGAAACAATGATCCGTAGAATACACTCACAGAAACAGAAGTGAACTACAGACTTCATAGAGATTTGTAAATGGTGGTTGTTAAGTCAGGTTCATCAGGGAAACATCAGTGATTCTTTTTGTATATACAGTTTTATTTTAAAAATAAATCGGACATAAAAAACCCTACATCTTATTTTCCAGTCACCAATTGATGGACATTGGGCTGTTTCCAAGTTTCAGCTATTACAAACTGTGCCACTAAAAAAATGGGTGAGTATATATCACTGTGGTATGATTCTTTTAATTAGTTTGGAAAGATACCCAGCAGGGGAATAGCTGGATAAAATGGGACTTCTAATCCTAGTTGTTTGAGGTATCTCCATATTGATTCCCACGGTGGTAACACCAGTCTGCACTCCCACCACCAATGAAGAAGGGCTCCTATCAGCCAGAAAGAACGAGAAATTAGAGACATTTATAGCTAAATTGGATGCACATTGAGGCCATACTCTTAAGTGAAATTAATAAGTCACACGTGTAAATACTGAATAGTTTCTCTGGTGTGAAAAAAGAAAAGTATAAATAAGGATCAAAATGTATATTTGACATTGTGTAATATGAAGAAAAGGTCTAAGAGTAGAGGAAGTGGGAGCATAGGGGAAAGGTAAAAAAGGAAAAGAAAAAGTAATTTAAATGGAAAATCTCCTGCAGGCTGCGTCTGCCATCTTTGGCCCCAGAGGGTCTTCTCAGCAGTACCCTCCCTGCAGCGTTCCTGCCATCTTCAGTACCAGAGGGCCTGCTCGGCCGGGCCCTCCCCTGTGGTGTTCTGCTATCTTCAGCACCAGAGGGTCTTCTCGGCCGGGCCCTCCTCTGCTGGCACCGCTGCCGCCATCTTCAGCCCTAGAAAGGTAGCCTCGCGGGCACCACTGAACAACCCCCTGCAACCTTCCCCCTCGCGCTGTTAGACCTCCCGATTGTGCCAGTCTTTGGACCTACTCTGTAGAGGCAGAGGTGGTCATAAAGAGTATTTTCTGGCACTTTCAACTTTGAACATCTTTAATAAAGTGGTGGGGGAAACTTATAGTAGAACTGAGTGGAGTTCAACACTTCAGGAGGTCGGGGAACTCAGTCTGAGCCTTGCAGCCAGAGCTCAGTCTGCTTTGTGGGGTTCTGCC